AGAAATTAGTATATATATATATATATATATATATATAACTAAGTAAATTTCTAGATAAGTTGGGTTGAAATCCCTTTGTTTTGGGGTGAGCTTCATGGGTTGTAATTGGGCTACTTTATGGGTCAGAATGAACTATAAAAAATAATGGGTTAACTTGGGTTCAGTCCAAATTGACCCATGAGCTAAAATGGTATAGCACAACCCATTAATCTCTGGGCGGGTTGGGCGAATTGGATGGGTTTGGGCTTAAATTGCCACCCCTAGCCCTAACCCAATTGCATAGTCAAGATTGTAAAGTTTGACTACCTCATTTGTTTTGCCCTAGAAGTATAATTGTAAATTATTTTTGAACATTCAATAATATTGTTGAGTAGCTTTTTTGCAACTCATATGTTTATTCCTCTTAAACTCTTAAAAATACAATACGTTTTAGTAATAGGTAATAATAGAGCAGTCTATAATCAAGAATCTCAAACCAAATGCAGAAATTTTGATGAAGTTCATGAAGAACCTGCAAAATATTGCAACTGTTGAGTACTATGCGAATGATGCACGAATTTATTTAAGTTTCAGCTAAGATCTGATCATGAGTGAAAGTTTTATTTGTGATGTACACATGAATCCTTGACCTACAAAATAAATGAACTATAAAAAAATTACTAGTGTATATCGTTCTTCTTTGTATGATCTAAAGTGAATCTCTCACTCTTCTTCTTCACATGGTCGGCAAGAGGAGGAGGCCTTTGCTTTTGCTTTAGGCCCTAACTTTTGAGGGGCCCCATTTCCTAATAATAGTACATGTATATGCTATTTTTTTCTAACAAAAATTAAACACTATGGTATAATAACTATAGAAAAACTATAAAAAGGTAAGTAAACTTTTGGAATAGCACTTAATATGTAGAAAAAAAAATTAGGTAACAACAATAACTCGTTTAGATCCTAACTTTCCTTTATATAAATTATTCTAGGTCTATTGGAATAAATAAGCTAAATTATACTTCTTATATTTTACTTCTTACGAAGAACTTATACTTTTATCTTTTTTTTCCCCTTGTCCAAGTATATTATTATTCTATCAAATACAAGCCCTGTAGTGCATTGCACATTTTTAATTACATTCTCTCCTTTTCACTGTTTCAAGCATTGCAATAAGCAAATTTACGTAGTGATACTCTAATTTGATATAATTAAAGTTATCAAAGTCAAGAATCAAGTTCAGTTATTCTAATTTTATTCTATTATCTTTTTTCAATCTAAATTTTGTTATTTTTATATTTTTATTTCATAAGTATATTATGCCTTTTATATTTTTCTTACCTTAGATCAACAATATATCAATATATCAAAAAATATTTAATGAATTTGATGTATATTATTAACTAAAAAGGAATTATTAGAAAAAATCAATTATTAAAAGAATAATTAACAATAATGCAACTCAAGCACGGAGGGTGTGAAGATTTTCTTATAGATGTTTAAAATAAAGGCTTATTATTATAGTTTGACTTTAGACAACCAAATTTATTGAACCGTGTTGCTTCTTCATCTTAATATTTCTAATTTATGCTCTAAAACTGAAGAAGTTCTTTCTTTTTCATAATTCTTTTATTTTCTTTAGTTACTTAGTAAGCCTTGTAAAACATGAATTTCTTTATTTGATGAAATTAGCCTTTTTCATCACCCAATGAGCCCCATTTTTTTTTAATGGTCTCTAGTTGTACTTTTTGTCCAACCTTATTTTTCTTTTAAAAAGTTAAAAAATAGTAGTTTAATTATTATTTTACATTATAACGTGACTTTTGGTCCATTTGTTATTCATGTCAGAATAAATGATGTTTAAAAACTATTCAAATATAAATAAAGAGTTTTGTATTTTCAAATGATTATTGTTTTCAGTTTTATACGCTTTTAATGTTTCTCTTTCTATATTTGGATTTCTCTAAAATTTAATTTCTGACATTCTGCGTGAGATGGAATCAACCATCTACGTTCATATCTTTTGAGCTGTAAAATATTTTCTTCCTTGTACATATTTAGTGTAACGATCCGATCGGTTGTTTTGAGTTCTAGCGCATCATTCAGTGGTTTGAGATCCTAAGCAACTTCACTTCAGGTATTATGACTTGTACGCATGGTCGGAATTTAATTTCGGGAAGATCGAAGATGATTTGGAAAGAAAATTCTAATTTCGGAAGCCTTAAGTTGGAGGAATTGAATAAAGTGTGATTTTTGAGTAGACGGCCTCAGAATCGGGATTTGAAGGTTCCAATAGGTTCGTATGATGATTTTGGACTTAGGAGTATGCCCGAAGCGGGCTTGGGATGACCCGAGAGCGTTTCAGTGCCTATTATGGAAGTTGGCATTTTTGGAAGAATTTCCTAAATTTGGATTGAAGTGCATTTCAATGTTATTGATGTCCGTTTGGGATTCTGAGTCTGGGAATAGCTCCGTATGGTAATTCTGGTATTGGAAGTGCGTCCGGATGTGGATTTGGAGGTCCATAGGTCATTTCGGGGTCATTTGACGAAAGTTAGAAATTTGAAGGTTTTGGAGAATTTGACCGGGAGTGAACTTTTTAATATCATGGTTGGATTCCGATTCCGGGAGTTGGAGTAGGTCCGTAATGTCAAATATGACTTGTGTGCAAAATTTGAGGTCAATCGGACGTGATTTGATAGGTTTCGG